GTGTATATCAGCCTCTGGTCATTAAATAAACGAAGATTAAACAAAAATTCTTTAGAGCCTTCTAAAATACAGCTACTCGATGTTAAAAGAGAATTAATGTCATAGCCTGTTTTCACTTCTTGTCTTTAAAAACGAACAGTCCAGTTGAATCCATGCAGAATAAGACCAGGTCTGTAATCTCATTGGGACTTGTCTGGTTCAGTAAAAAGTTTTAAAAAAATAAACCTTTTTATTAGCAATAGCTGATGTCACTTCTGTCAGGTTTCAGCACCACTAGACTTGAGGAAAAACTCAAAGAAGCAATTATTAAGCTCTTTTTTTATCCCCAAGTCTCTTAAAACCCAACAAAAGGATGAGGTTCTGTCAGACTTTCCTCTGTTTGAAGCTCTAATCCTGACAGGACTGTGACTTACTGTAAACATTTGGATCTGCATTGCAGATGATAAAGGCACCACTTTACAAATCCAAGACCAGATTGAGATGGCGGCCCAGGTGGCCGCAGGCATGGCTTACCTGGAGACCCAGAACTACATCCACAGAGACCTGGCAGCCAGGAACGTCCTTGTTGGTGAGAACAACATCTGTAAGGTGGCGGACTTCGGCCTGGCCAGGGTTTTTATGGTGGGTTTGATATTTGAACTTGTATTCTGTCCTTTCATTGTTTCTGAAGTCTGAGTAGAAAAGTCCAGTTGAGCAGGGTTTGTGTATTTCTCTGCTCCAACAATGAGGTGCCGTTTGTAAAGTTACACAGTCAAAAATTACCACCAATATTTTTGTTTTATTTAGACTTTTATAAGAAAAAANGGATTCGTACACCGCTAGTTGGCAGTGTTGTACACATAATGTACATGAATTGTCAGCTAGTAAGTGTCAAATTGAACTTGTGCTTTAAAATTAGCTTCTGATAGTTTTTCTATGGAATAAGCGCTTTTGAAGTTGCGGACCTAAATATTTTCATAAGCGCTCTAGAAATTGCAGAGCTAATCTTTGGATTAGCGCTGCCCACCACTGCTCCTTTGTTCTGTGTCACGTTTCACTTTTAATTTACATCATAGCCTGAGATGCTCCAGTTTTTAATTTAGTGGACCCACACCAGTTTTAGTCAATTCAGATTTCTCTTGAATTATAATTGACAAAATGCAAAAACTATTTCATGAATGTTGAGATAAAATGAAACCTTGTCATGGCAGTCAGTTTTCTCCTGCTGCAGTTTGAGTTTAACAGGATTAAAGGTGGATGAAGCTGCAGAGTGACCCACAGAGTCGATGGTTGACACTGAGGTCAAACAGCCAGAAATGAATTACTGTTGAATTGTAACCTGGCAGCTSCTATTTAAAGARGCAGGAAGTTTGGAGATGAATTGTTGCATAGAAAGTCATGCTTTTTTTTATTTGTACACCTTTTCAAAGCTGCAGTAGCTCAGTGATCAGTGTTGCAGTCTCATGACCCTGAGGCTGATGGTTCCAGCCCAGGTTTTAGTGAGGATTGACACCCAGTTTAAAACAACTGTCAAATATTTCACGAGTTTGCTGCAGTGATCTCTGCAGTGTGGTGACACACCTGTTCTCCTTCCTGCTGTGAGGTGGGTGCGTGTTTCTGAGAGGAGCCAGCTCAACTGTAAAACAAAGCTTTTCTTGTTTGCGTAAAATAACTGCTGACATTTAAACTAACGTTTCTGTCATTAACTAACGGTTACAGCAGTTTGTCAGTAAATCCAGTGTGTCCCAGGCACAGGACCAAAGAAAGCAACAGTTCTGTAATCATTGTCCTGTTATCTGATAAAGTCCCTTTACTTCCAAAAAACTGAGACCGTGTGACAGCAGATGTACCTCCAGTAGAAAATACTTCACGTATTTTTCTCCGACTTTATTTTGAAACACAATAAATATGATTAACTTTATTTCAAGTTCCATTTCATTTTAAGTTTTACTGGAACTGCAGGGGGAGAGAAGATTTAGAAAAAAGTTGCTTTCTCAATTTGTTGCCAGCTAGAACAAAAACAAAATTAGTTTTGAGAAGTTTTGTCTGGTACGGAAGAGGATTAGGGACACTGAAAAAAATAAAAAAGGAATTCTGACTTTAATCTCAGAATTTTGAGAAAAAAGTCTGAATTCTGACTTTTTTGTCAGAATTCTGAGATTAAAGTCAATTCTGAGAGAAAAAAAGTCAGAATTCTTTTTTTTTTTTTTTCCATCTGCTCTAATCCTCTTCCGTAGTCTGATCTTTTTTAGATCAGAGGTTTTTCCACATAAACAATAAGCAGAAACTGCACAGTGTATATCAGCCTCTGGTCATTAAATAAATGAAGATTAAACAAAAATTCTTTAGAGCCTTCTAAAATACAGCTGCTCCATGTTAAAAGAGAATTAATGTCATAGCCTGTTTTCACTTCTTGTCTTTAAAAACGAACAGTCCAGTTAAATCCATGC